GTAAAGATTTGAGGTATCATCTTAAAAGGTCAAACATTGTTAAGAAGAGTGGCCGAAACTCTTATAAATTGATCTATATTTTTTCTTTATTCGATGTGAAATTATATCACTTGACAGCACCATCTCCATCTTATAACAAGAAACTGGTAGTTTATCAAATATTCTTAGGATAGCTGAACAGAAGTTGCCAATGATGCAAAAGTGATTCAGTTAATGGTCACTCATGACCTCAGTGCAGATTGCTTGCAAAAATACTATATTTTAAATAGCAAGATAATATACAGGGAAGGCATGCTATAAAATAGCAGAAAATCAAATAATAAGAAAAATAACAGTATAATACAAAAAAATCTTAAAGCAAGAAATACGTGCAAACATTTAGTAAATTGTAAAAGCATCCAATTAGGAGTGCAACTAGCATTAAGGAATTCATGGTGTTGGAACTTGACAAAAAATAAATTCAAATTGGAAGAGAAGTTTTTCAATTTCCAAATTTCCGTGATTCCAACATATCATAAGTGTCATAAACATCAAGTGTTGGATTATATATATATAACAAAGATTGGACCTTGATCATGGAGAAGCTGCGGAAGCTTGCGCTGAGAAATGCGAGCTTCTTTGGCATCAAGTTCAATCTCGGCTGCTCTACGGTCAGCCATTATCTGATCCAAATCTCTCTCATCTTCCATCGAATCGTGTAGCCCCACTGATTCGTACTGGTCCTGGTCGTTCATCCCCCGATAATCACTAAAATACACATACCAATTACTCAACAAGATCAGAGAGCATTCAAAGATTACACATAATCCACTATTAGCGCAATATGAAGTATAAATCGAGTAGCAAGGAAGGAAAAGACTTACTCCATGAAATTATCGTGGAAAAGATCTTCCCCTTCTTCCTCTTCCTCATCAACACCGTCATCAGGATCATCTCGAATGATTTCAGGGTCGACAGACGCTTCGTCATCGTCGGTATAGTTCTGACTGGTGTTGAAAGGCAGCTGATCCGTGTTAAAACCTGCAGAAGTTGGCGAATCGGGAGTCGACGGCAGATTCCCATTTCCGTTGGCCACAGCGTTATTGGCCGGCGTTGTCGAATCAGGAGTCACCAGCGGGCTGCCATTTCCATTAGCCGCGGCATTACCGGCCGAACTTGTTTCATCGTCACTTGCCATTTCCTTGTTTCTTCTCCCCAAATTCTCTTTGTAAGTCCGCCGGTGTCTGTGGAGGAAATTTGGGTGGCTTAGGTTTTGTGTAAATAGGCATCTGATTCTGGAAGAGTAGTTGTTTTGGCGGGAGAATTTCGCGCCAAAATTATGGGGTACTTCTGGAGCCCATTAGTCCAATAAGCCCATATTGCAGTTTCGTCTCGGTTGCACATGGTAAAGAAATCAATTTTTTTTTTTTTTTTTTTAAACAGTTAGGCCCCCGTTTATTTCTCTGTTTCATAAGAATGAGAATGAAAAATATAGTTATTATAAACTCTACACAAGAGATAAAAATTTAAATTTGATGGTTTAATGTGATGAATAACAGTCATATTTTTCATTTTAATGAGAAAATAATGGAAAACAAATAGGAATTTAATTTATTTTCATGATAATTATACGTTATTCTTGTGTCAATCAAGTAATTATTACTCAATTTTGTTTAATCAAATAATTATATAATAATTTGATTTCAATCATGTAACTCCATCTAATTATGTTATCTAGACTGACAATAATCAATGAACTAATACTCATTAAATGAAGCATGCCATTTATTTCACTGGCATGTTTGAGGCACATTATTAGACTAAAAAAATTAAATTCTGACCATTAATCATCACATCCAGTCGATTTTGTTGACTTCTCATCTTTTGTGTGGAATCCAGTTGTATGTGCAACAGTTAGAATTCTTATTTTAATGAAACATATAACTTCAGCCCCAAACAGGGGCTGAAGTTGTACGTATCTTACATCAGGAATTACTAATTGTGTATTATGATAATTATTTATTGAATGCTGTACATCGATTTCCGTCAATGAAATTGGACAAAGTTGTCATAATTAAAATTAAATTAAAATATACTTACTCCTGATTGAAACAATGGCTCGGATTTGTTATAAATTTGGAATAAAGTTCTTGCCCAAAATATTGAAGTCTGTTTATGGAGTCAATTGTTTTCGGCTTGTTGCTGGTTCAGGGAGCTTTCTTCACATTGGGCCTTCGGTAATGGAACTTGGTGATGTCTAGTACTGATCCCTCTCTGTCTTCATGAAGCCCAACAATGTGGGAAATAAGACCAAATATTGACAAGGTACAAATTTTGCCACCTCTTAAATAAAGGGCAACTTACAAAAATACTTTTAAAATTAGAAGTCTTTTGAAAAATAATATAAAAAAAATTTTAGAAGTAAAAAATACTGCCTAAAATTAAAAAGTGACACAATGTCACTTTTTTTTTTTAATAAAAATTGTCACTTTTCTTTAAAAAAAGTAGCACAATGTCACTTTTAAAAGTTTAGTGTCACCTTTTTATTAAAAAATGGCATACAATCTCATTTTTATTAAAAAGTGATGTTTGTCACTTAAAAAAATGTAGTAGAAATCTCAAAACGATTGAAAAAAGTGACAAATAGTAAAAAAAAAGTGACAACTACTTACTGTCTTGCATACATCAATCTAATTGATTCAAAGTTTTCCTTTTTATATATATTAATATAAAGCAAGGCTTGAATTTGTATGTTCAAATTTTCGAAAAAAAAACGTATACATATGTATCTAGTTAACTGCTCCAATGACATAATGTGACCTTTTTTTTTAGAAAAGTGACGTTCTGTTACTTTTTCACATTTTCCTTAACACAAACGCGTTGCATGCATCAATTCAATTGATTGAAAACTATTTTTTATGTATTAGCATATAACAAGGCTTCAATTTGTATGTTCAAATTTTTACAAATGCACACTTATGCATCTTGTTAAATATTCAAATGAGATATTGTGATTTTTTTTTTTTAAAAGTAACAGAATGTCATTTTTTCACAATCTCCTTTCGTCAAATACCTTGATACATTACTTTAATTGATTCAAAGCTAATTTTTCAAATGTATTGACACAATTAATTTCTTTTCAAGTTCAACAATGTTATTTTCAAACATATTCCCAATCACAATAGCAAAACAATCAAAAAGAACTTCATAGTTGTCAATTATTTACATCATAAGGTTCAAACCTAATAACATTGCCAATATTGCTTTATGCTTCAATCCAAATACTAAAAAATGCCTCTTCGTTCAATTGAAAATTGTAAGCCATTATTTTCTTCTATTGTTTTAGACACTTTATTTGCATAATAAATCATCTCACTTGAGTATTTAATCAAACACATAGTCAATCATTTAAAACAAAGTAAAAAATCCATCAGGTGAACATTTTTCAATAAAATAATTTTGAAATGGTATCTGCTGGGGAACAAATGGATTTCAAAAAACATAAGAATATTCATATACATTCGTGGTAAAATCCTGAAATATGGAAAAAAATAAAAAAAATCCTATGAAATGAAGTCCACCTTTGATTTCTAGACTCTTCAACAAGCTTTTTCTTATCTAAATCTGAGATTACTTGAACTTTCTAATCCTTCAGCATCTTCTTCAATTCCACAATATTTTCTTTAACTTCATTAGTAGATGTTCACTACGTGTGTGTCAACCATCTTCTTATTCTTCCCACGCAAAACTAAAAAACTTGATTAGGGTTTGAATTTTGGACTTTTGCCCAGATTTGTAGGTTGAAGAGCGTTAAAAGGTTCTGTTTTACGAAAAAAATGGAACGTATTTTTTACTTTTGGTTATAATGTATTGTAATTTTCAATTTTATAAGTTTTGGAAAGTAATGGACCTAATTTACCCTTAAATAAAAGTGGGAGCAGTTCGGTTTGATCCAATTCTCAGAAAATCTTAGAAATAGAATTATCGATTTCATAACAAAATTGGAACCAAACCAACTGGTTTCAATTCAGCACGATCCAACTATTTTGATTGAAAAAATTAAGAAAATAGAATAAGAAATTACTTATACATATTTAAAAAAAATTAATTGAATATATATCACATGATTCACATCTATTGTGGTGTGACCCAAATTCCATTAGAATTCGGAGTTTGACTGACAAAGGGACCTTGGATAGGTGAAAACCTGGTTTTGGAATTTTGGATAGAGATATAGTGCCTAAGTGCCTAGTTCGGGCCGCCTAGGTGCCCAAAACAGATGAAATGGAAGAATTGGACAGATTTTAAGAGCCTAAGCCTCTTGACCGCCGCTCGCTCAACGTAAGCTCCAACGTTCGAGTGACAGCCTTTTTGGTTGAAGACTCCTTTCTCGATTTTGATTCAATTCTTGTATTTTGTTTCATCCAAAACACTAAAATAGGTTCACATATATGCTCCACATGATTTAGCCTCTTTATAGACTTGAGTAACAAAGTGGAATTGTTAGATGTAGATTGAGCGCAACAAATCTTATAAAACAATTCAGTTTCTTAATTTGGTGGATTCTTCTTCTCTGCTCGTGATTTTTTCCCATATTGGATTTTCACATAAAATCTTGGTATTCTTGTGATTGATTGATTTGTTTCATTATCTTGCTTTATCCATAAAAAACATCACTATAGTTCCTGATGCTTTTTTATAACAACTCAAACACATGAATTGCACTAATTTAGTCTTAAAACACTCTAAACTCAATTTAGTCTAGTACATGAATTGTTCTAATCAGTGCTCAAACACCAAATTAATAACACAAGATTAACCCGACATTAGTCGGTATAAGGGAAACTTTAAGCCCCGTTTGGCCCCCATTATTTGAATTTATAATGGGGGGAATAGTGTTTTTTTGAAGATTGTGTGGTTGAAAAATTTTCGATTTGAGTGTAATATTATTTTATTGAAAATTGTGTGGTTGAAAGTAGGAGAGAAAAAAAATTAAATTAAATTGAAGAGTTTTAAAGGGGCTAAATTACAAAGAACAAAATTTTAACTTCTTTGAACCGTTTAACATTCAGTTCATGCCACCGGTGTGGTGTACAAGATTATCCTATGATTATTAAATAAGAAGATGATACAGATTCTGGTTCCATGCATGGTTCAACGGTTCGACCCAGTTATTAACAAATAAAAAATTAAACAACACATTGCTCGACCACAAAGAAGAACTGCTAAGTGCTTCTCTCTAGCATTTCTTGATACCTCTTGAAAGACTCCAGCTTCTGCAATCGCATCTTTTTATGAAACTTCAATATGAACAAATCTGCTACTTGATCAATCTCATCTTCAAGGTTGAAGTTCTCTGAATCCTCCTTGGAATTCTTCACCAAATCAATGGCAGACGCATTTGGATCGCCTAAATCCATATCATCCTCATTGAAAAGTGAGTGTCTTAAGTCGGGATACTTATCATCATCATCACCTTCTTCACGATCATATTCATAGTCAGTAAGGTAAATTTGACCTGAAGTAGAAGGTAACTCACTGGTTTCGGCATTGTAGACTACAATTGCCTTATTCTTTTCGTCTTCTTCATGATGGGCATCGTTCCCAAGCAATGCATGAATCTTGTGGCGGATTGCACCCAAAGAAAGCTTTCTGTTCTTCAACAATGAGTACACGGTGAATCGAGCTTTCATAGCATTAGTTTTGTTTCTGAGAGACATTGATTTGGATTTTGCTAGAGAACCTAACACAGAGATGATATGCTTCAGAAAAAGAGCAGCACTATTATTCTTCATTTTGATTACTCAACAAAGGATAAATATAATTTTGATCAGAGGAGATTTCTGAATAGCGGAGCCTCTGCCCAACGTTTATATATAGAAAATGACAATAGGATCTGAAACGAACGTTTGCTGTCACTTCGAGTGAGTTTCCTTCCTTCGTTTCACTGGCCATAACTTAGCAGTAAAGAATAGTTTTATGAAATTTAAATAGAAATTGGAGCTTTAAGCTTTTTAACAAAAAGAAAGCGAAAGGTAAAGGAGAATGAAATAGCAAGGAAGAACACTTTCACGTGTAACATGGCCGAAAGCTGCTTTAGAAAGTAGGCATAGTTACTCCAATTATTGGACGTTTATGAAATATCAGTGAAAAGAGATAGTTCTCACTTTTATTGGACAGAAATGCATGCATGTGAATGAACAAATAAATATGAGTTTTGTCTTGTAATTCATTCCCAAATGCTCACCATCTTTGTAGACCATAAATTATAGTTGTCATATAGACTGGTGCTAAATTACAGCCCTTGAGCCTTATTTTTTTGGGAAGAATGAATTTTTGAGTAGTGTATTGATGGGAAATGTGTGGTTAAAAAATAAGGAAAAATTTTGGATTTACGTATAATATTATTTTATTGAAAAATGTGTAGTTGAAATAATGTCAAAGCACTATTGAAAAATAAATTATTTCAAAAGAATGGGGCTCAAACAAGGGCTGAAACTTTATTATTTCTATTTTCTTAGTTGTTTATATAACCTTATTAATACGTTCCTATGTAATTCATAGTTTGAAAATATGTACGTGCCTTTAATTTCTTTATAGTTTCGAACAATTCTATAAAATATGTTCATACTCTTACCTAAGCTTATGCATGTGTTCGGATTTCAATACAATCTTCTTATAATGAAAGAGTATTAAGTTCCCTGAAACATGTAAATAAGAAGTGAGTATTGATTGTGAATGTGTCATCAATATTCAAATTTAACTTTGATTGAAAATTATAACTTATGTTAATCAATTGGGGCCTTTATAGTTATGTATCCAATGCAAGTTGGCCTCTTAACCTATAAAAATGCATTCTTGAAACGCGCTTTTGGTTTTGTTTGACATCCGACCTTACACATTGTGCATTTTTGGGCGTTGGATCTGTTGTTTGGGGTGCCATATGAGTAGCACCTCTCAACCGGCTTCACAGACTTTGATTGAATGAGTGTGTATTGTTCTAGGGTTTTCTCTAGAACGTTGTATTCTCTTCGTCCATTCTTCAATCTCTATAATTTTGAGTGGATTCCTTTGATGTACTTAGTGTATAATCTGTGAGATCGAGTGTGGTTTACTGTTATGAACTTTGTATGTGAAGTGAGAGTAAAACCTTGAAGAAGTCTCTCTGATTTCTTCAACGTTTTTACTGCACAATTCTTGATTGATTTTAGTGGATCCATAGCAATATCTCTTGTAGACGCTTAACACGATTAGAGTTTAGAGAACGTAAACATCCATACTCCTTTGTGGGTGAAAAATTATTTGTGTTGAAACCTTTTGATTTCTACGATTACCTTCTGCAAACGATTTTTGCACTTTTGAATGTTTTGTTAAACTCGAATGGGACCAACAACTTATAATATTGTACGTTAACTTTAAAAAAAATTCTTGTACCAACGTCAAGAATTGATTTTATCAACTTTTTAATTGCTAAAACTTCAATTTTAACTATACATTTCATAGAACTCACAATTTTTATTAGTTTTTCAATCATTCATTTCATAACTTTTATCGAAAGTTTTGTCACAACCTATATATGTTGTTTTGCCTTTTTTTTCATCTTCCTTTAACAATGTCCCTTACGTGTATTATCTTGTTGTCAAAAACTTATTTCCTCAAATGAGAAAGTGAAATCGGGCTTGGAGCTAGACTGAAAATATCTGCAAGGATTAGAATCTTGTTTCAGGTTTGCCTACCAGAAAAAGGACATAAGAACAAATAAGGAAAGAAAAAAAGAAAAAAATTAAAGTGAAGGGTCTAATTGATTATTTAGTGAAAAGTGAGAAAATAGTTGGGACATGCAGTGGGAATTGGTTGGCACTCGTAAAAGTGTGGTGCTAACGCATCAATTAATTTGCAAGGAAACACCATATTGAAGTTTTTCTAAACAAATCATATTAACTTTTTTAAACATGCTCTCTCTCTCTCTCTCTCTCTCTCAATTTTTTATTTCTGTTAATGGTTTAAAGAAATTGGTAGAAAGGTTCACATATTTAAGCTTGCCTAGATTCATGATTAATAATGATTCGAGGTCAAGTGGCTCACATATTGAAGCTTTCCAATTTGATATGGCACTTGACCATTGAGAGGGTTGTTCTAGAAACTAAGGGGGTGTTCTCTTTGTGTTTCAGTTTTGTGTTTTGAGTTTTGAATTCATTTTGAATTTTGTGTTTTGAGTGTTTGTTTTGAAATTGTTGAAAATGCGTTCTTTTTGTTAGTTTCTCAAAACAAAAAAAAAATGAATTTTTTTTTTTTGAAATTTTGAGAATCACCACAACACCACCTCAAAAAAAAAAAAAAATTAATTTTATTATTTTTTTAAAATTTTGAGAATCACCACACCTCCTCCTCAAAAAAAAAGTAATAATAAAATAAAATAAAAAAATAGAGGGTGTTTCCCGTGTTTTCAATTTTTTCAAGTTTTACACTGAAAACGCCCAAAACGACAAAAAAGTCGTTTTGTGTTTTCTTCACAATTTTTTTTTCGTTTTCGAAAATTCGTTTTCGAAAACGGGAAAGAGAACACGTTTTCACCGTTTTGAAAAATCAAAAACAAAAAACGGCCCGAAAACGTTAAAGAGAACAGGGCCTAATGTATTGAAGCTCTGCCAAATTTTCAATCTCGATTGGAGTGATGTTCGATAAGTATGTTTTGTACACTTATTTGAACTATTAAACTTGAATATTTGTTATTGATTTGGATGAATTATAATTTAGTTTTGTGTTAATTTTGTTTATTAAATAAAATTCGAGGCAAATAGATGAATTGAAAGAAACGGGCAAAAATAGAGAAAATATAAAGTTTGAGGACCAAAGTGCATATATCAAATAGTTGATTTGGACCATAAATTAATGATTGAAGATCATATAGGATCAATTGGATGCAATTGAAAATCAAAAGAGTGAAAATTTGAAAAAAAAAAATTCAAATAAAATCAAATCAAATTTTCAGTTGAACAATTTATACTCCAAATTTTCAGCCTTGAATTGAGATTTATTTTTCGGATAGCAAACATTCTAATTTGAAGAATTCTATTGTAAGAATAATTATAGCCCTTTTAGTCATTGTTCCAACATACTTTAAATCCCATCAATCGAATATTAAAAGAGAAATTCATGACAAAAATACCAATGATTACTCATGAATGAAAACGGCTAACAGCTCAATGGCGAGTCTGGGGATCATTGGCCAATACGGGCGCACAAGTATAATCGAGGGCCTAATGTACAATTTCCTTATTTAATTAAACTACTTCTTGAAAACTACTATGGATGCGATTTTTTCGAAATTTTTGATTCCTATAGATACTAAACAAGGGCTGCCATTGTGAAACACTCTATAGACTCTAATTACAAAATCTAATCATCAAATTCATCAAGAACAAGAAATCGATTCATTGCTTTTAAGATATGAGGTCAAACCCTAGTAAAATTGAATGACAATTACATCAAGATTTTGAAGAATTCAACATTGGAATTGAAGATCAACATCTTTTGCATTATTTCATGATTCGAGTGATGTTTTTCCATTATTTTTCTTGTAGTTTATATGAAATCATGTTAGGCTAGTTTGCTTTTGTATTAGATGAAGATGAACCATATTATTTATTTATTTTAATTTAAGACTATTAGTTTTTTATTTCTTACATTTCTTGATTAATTTTTTAATACACATTGCATTATTTAATAGCATAGCTAATAATTAGATAATGAGTTGTTTGTTGTAGTGTTGGAAGATTCACAATAAGTTTAGAACAATACAAAATTTATATATGTGTAATAGATATTAGAAATAATATTTATCATGTGTGCGATCATATTTAAATACTTTAATTTTATTGATTGTCAAGAACACATGAATAAGACTAGATTATAAATCAAGAATTGAAATAGATAATAATAGGCAGACTCTAAATCCAATACAGTCATCCATTCATTGATATAAAACCTAATTTTACATTAATTTTAGAATAATTTAGCATAATCACATCAAAATCTTTCTTGTATGACATATTCCGAATTCAATAAAAGGTTAGAACACTTGAATTATAATTTATTCATTGTGAGACGATACTTTCAACTCACTAAAATTATTACTTGTCAACGATTTCATATGCTTATGGGTTTGCACGAACAATGTCCTCCAATACATTGTTGCTCATGTCCAAGAAAGTGATCTTGGAGACACTGCCAATACCGAATAGTGTCGACCTACTGAAATGATTAAAGCAAAGGTCGAGTTTTGTCTAATTTGGAAATGAAGTAAAATCGAGCCGGTCAAGTGTGCCATTGATATTCGCATCAGATAAATTTATCTCAAAAATTGACCCCTCATTGTTGTAGAGAATTCATCTCCATCAGCAAAGATTTCCAAAGAACAGAAGACAAACTACTCGACCACTTGACAAGAGCCTCTGTTTCTATTCTTGCATATGACTATCTTTAATGGATGTAAACGAGGATTACTAAGGCTTATCATATATAAATTTTACTACCCTTATTTTTTAATATCCTAAATAATTTAACTTTATATATAAATAGTCATCTTTATAATTATAAGTATATAAACATTTTTATTAAGATTCTAAATAATTTAACTTTCGAGTATATATTTCAAAAACTTATATGGTGATATATACTAATTAATTAAGGGGTAAATATATTCACACCATAATTTTTGTTTACTACACTACATTTTAATTACAAGGCATATCCCTACATTTTCTTACTTTTATAATTATGTTCTCAACTTTTTTAGAAATTTTTTTATTATCGTCATTCTTCTCTCTCGTATTTTAAATAATCGAAATAAATAAATAATGCAAAAGTTTAAACAAAATATTTGTCTATCTTTTCAATGCACGTTAGTAAAGTATTTGGATGAAAATCGTGATTAAAGACAAAACATATTTATCAATTGAAGGTTAAGAATGATGATAAGACGAAAAGAAAGTTGAGGGCATAAAAGTAAAAAAGTGAACTAATATTGAAACCCTTTCATGTAAATAAAATGTGGTGCGGTTATAAAAAAAAAAAAAAAAATGTTGTGTGAATATAATTACCATTAATTAACTTGCGATATTGATTGAAATACCAATATCACCCTTCACACAATTTTACTTTTGAAGTAACTTTCTCCTTTTCAATTTTAGATTTATATTTATATTTTCAAACTAGTTCTCTTTTTTCAATATCAAAACGTCCATACAATCTATTGACATCAAAATTCATCAACTGTAACAAAAAAATGTGAATACCGTGGCTTCAAAGTCTCCTTCTGCCTTCTCGAATGCCTCTTTTAGGCCATTCTTTTAGAATTGTTATTTTTTCCTTCTATAATAAAAAGCTCATACAATTGATAATTTTTCAAACTGATAATTAGGAATTGTACCTTACTTTTTTATTTATTTTATTTATTTTTAACTTTTGAATGTTACTAGATTTATTTTATAAGTTACATTAATTATTAATAAAAATAAGTATTTACTTTTTTTAAAAAATTTTATACAATCATTCATTTAATTAATTTTCAAATACATGACTATTTTAGACTCATCTTTAGAGATCTAATATAATATTGAATAATTATGGATGTACAGTACTATTTCACAGGACTTGTATAGGCCAGAGACATGCTGAGGTGGGTGGGTGATTATTTAAAAAAAAGTAAAAAATTCACCCACCCTGTGCATGTGTGAGTGGTCTATACAGGCCATGTGAAGCTCCGTTGATATTAAATAATTCTGTATAATATTTCCTTATACTATGAGAGACTATCACGTGATTTTGAAAAACCCTCCAAATTAAGTGGATTTGAATGTGTTATCTTTGTCAATTCTTAATGCTAGATATTCTCATTTATAAGCCCCCAGGGCACATCTCCAAGTGATAAAAAGGGAGGGGTGGAGAAATTCAACTTTGCTTGAGGCTGCTGCGTCAAGAGTTCGAATCCTGAAATATGGATTTGACTCTTGGATAAATGCAAGTGTACAAGCAGCCTTCCACCCTGTACCCTTGGAGGCATAACCTGCTATTTACCTCTCTTACGATACTCCAGGGCAGGGGCGGTGAGGGACCCTTAAGGTTGGGGTTTAACCTTTTTTTTATTCTCATTTATAAACAAAACCCCCTTTCTGAATATCATCTTATTAGAATATCATCTGTGTCCATTCCAAAGTTGCTCAAATTCTGACATGTTATCGAATTCAATGGTTAAATTATATATTTAAACTATTTTTATCCACTATTATTTGAACACTATTTATCTTGATATCTATTACATCTTACTATATATTATAAATTAATCACTATTGTGTTAAAATAATTTGTAATCGAATTTGATGTTTTTATTTTATTTTTTACAAATGGACATGTAGAATTTGAAGAGAGGATAACTCCCCAAACCTCTAATTGTTTCTTACGAATATAGTTGTGGGTAGATAATCATTTTATTTTAATTTGGATTTCTATTAGTTATATTTTTATTTTTAATATCAAGTGTAACGACCAAGAGATATGTCTAAAGATTTTAATTCTCTCTTCACTTATTGAAAATACTAATTATGTAAAAATCATAGCTAATTGATCTAAAATAAATTTGTTCAGTAAAAATAAGGAAAAACGAAAAAGTTGGTATTGGGTGGATTAGTGGGCCAAGGTCCAACAAGTATTCGAGGAAATGCATATTACATTTTTCAACAAAAAATGTAAAATCTACAAAAGAGGATCTTTGCAATGAAAGGCAAAAAGTGGGTCAAAGATTAGGGATTAAAATTTAGAATTAAGTTATTTGTACTTATTGACTTACACTTTGATTTATTCGACCCCACTCCTCCTTTCACATGAGATCGGGTTCCACGTGGGGGCCATGACGTGGGGCCCAACCCTCATGTGAGAGGAGGAGGTGAGGTCGGGTAACCCATAGTGTAAAATGACATGTATAAATAGCATGACCCTAAAATTTAACAAGAGCACTGGATTGGGGAACGTCTTCCACTATTTTTCGGAGAAACATGCCCAAAGCATCTTTAATCATGATGTAAAATAAATTTAAACTATAATTTAAATTTTCGAAATAATTGAAAATCTTTCTAATAAAAAGATGCAAAGAAAATGCAATTTTCGACAAAAAAATGTAAAATTTACAGAGGGCAAAAAAATGGATTTAGATATTTTTATTTTAGCAAAATTTGAATTTAGATCATCGAGATGTGAATGATAATACAAAAATGATTTCAAAAATATCGATTTACAACCTATTTCACACAATCATGCTAAAATTACAGGTTCAAAGACAAGTGTCACACATGTCGATGCGTGATTGGATCTTATTTCACACAATCCTGCTAAACATTCAGGTCCAAAAATAGGTTCAGAGACAAGTGTGGTATGTGTTGATGCATGATTGAATAATTTAAAAAATTAAAACAAAAAATTCAATCATTAATCTTCTTTCCCAATTTTTAAACCTAGCTAAGTGATTTTATTTTATTTCACATCACTGGGCCTCGAATAATGGGGAAATTCGGATAAGATAATCAAATCTCTTTTCATTTTATGCCATAGGAATCAATGATGAATGCCACCGCTTCCATTTCTACTCTCCTCATCTTCTTCACGTTAACCACTTCAATTTTGGTATCAGCTACAGAGAAACCCAATTCAACTGACCCAGCCCCAACCCCAACCCCAACCCCATGGCCCCTTCAGTTCCACTCCATCCTCTTTGCGAACTACAGCGGCTCACTCAGCCTAATCGACCTTTGGTACGATTGGCCCAACGGCCGAAACTTCAACATTATCCAGGACCAGTTGGGGAAGCTCCTATATGACGCCGAGTGGAACAATGGCACATCTTTCTTCTACACACTCGACTCGAACGAGGAATGTCGCTCAATCCGGCTGGAGGTTGGGATTCTCCGACCCAATTGGCTCGACGGAGCCACCTATCTCGGCCAGGAATATGTTGACGGATTCTTGTGTAATGTCTGGGAGAAGGTCGAATTCATTTGGTATTATGAGGACGTTGTTACCAAGCGGCCAGTCCATTGGGTTTTCTATACTGGTAAACAATTTCTTCTGTTTCTGCTATATCTACTGATTTTTCTTCAATTCGAGAGGATTTCTCTAGAATTATATTTCTTCTCAATTTTGGTGTCAATTTGGTTGAATTATAATGGCAATGCATATCTAAGAATTGCGATAGATAGTCATTCTAACAAAGTAAATCAAAGTGTTGGTCGTGTAAATTCTTATATTGATGTTTGTTAAAAGATGCCAAAAAATATATTGATATAAAATTTGTTATCTACAAGTTACGATTCAAAATTGTGCTTGTTGGGGTCCGACCTCACACCTCATGAAATAAATAGTTCGGACTGCACTCCCTATGCTAAACTCATTGTCGGGCACGCAAATGATGAGGTCAAATCAGGCAAATGACTGCCGTAATTTACGCAGACACTGTCCTCACTATACCATCAACCACTACCTATATGTCAGCGCCTAATTCTCAACAAGTCACAAGCAAGTAATGATCACTTAGCTGCAAATTATCATTATGTAATGCCATAGTTGTCAGAAGGCATCATGATAACCTAATTGGTCAACCTCAACAACCAATCAAGTAATCAGGATCCTGAGTGATGACACACCTTTCTACGTCAGTACTATAGCTGAAATGACATTAGATTGGCAAGTGATTTTGCCTTCCAACTAATAAATATGGGCAAATAGCCCCCTCCAAAGGCTGAGCTAGGAGATTGGGCAACAAAGACTCTCAAGCCTCTCATTTATACAATTACTTTGCAAACTTTGATCCAATTCCGGCAACACTCAATAAATTTTCCCTTTAAGTTGATCTATTCTTAATTCTTGCCACATCATTTTTAGTGTTCATGTTCTTTGAACTATGTGCACAAGATTATGAAGCAATCTTAGCACAATAGTAACTATACCAGTGAAGAAGAAATGTAGTGCAAATTGGTTGCATCCTTTAAGAGAATTCAAGAAACTGAGGGAAAAAGAATTCTCATGAATTGTTACATAGAAACTCCTGACTATGATCTTTCAACTTAAATAGCAATTAGACACGTTTTAATTGATATTCTAGCCCTTAGAAAGAAATTTGTGATTTGTCCCTGGCTTTGCACCTCGTAAAATTCTCATTTGTTGCAATCGTCTGTACAACTACAGGAAGATCTATTCACGTAATGACATTTGAAGTCGGAGCTGTGCTCGAGGATGCAAAGTGGCAGGCACCTGTATATTGTTTTGAGAAAAAGGGCATTAAAACTGGCTACAACGCAGTGGATGATAATTTCCTGAAACCCCAGTTGGAAGGTGTTCTTAAAGGGTCAATGCAGCTATAGATTATCACTTATTTAGGTATCCCATTCAGCTAGTTTCTTCTCCAAGAACTCGACCATGTAGCTAATTTCCACCTGCCTTTTGTAATTTGCTTCAATAAAGGAGGCTTTATCCAAGATATACGTATTTACAACTTGTCGGCCGCGTATGATCCTTTCCACATTTTGCTAGTTGGTTTCGCCACACAATATCCATCAGGCATAAAAACTTCCCACTGCTAATATAATAATAAGTATGGTTCTTTTGCTACATCGGTAGTGGAAAGTTTTTACCCTGCCTAATGAGGATAGATGATGAATTTCACAGTATCTATATATGACTAATAAACTATTTCATCTTATCGTTTCTTTGCTTGGCATGCATACTCAGTCTTATAGATACTTGAACATGTTTTGTATAGTTAAAAAATCAGATTTTTGATATATTTTGATAAAAATAGATGAACTGTTCGATTAAAAATCTATCAAAATTCACTAAACGAAATTTCCATACATAGCCTTGCCTAGTTGGCATGCAGGGATTTGTTGAAAAAATAAATGAAGGTTCTCATAGTCGGTCAAAATATACAATAATTGCCATCTGCAGAACTACCAACTTTATCAATAATGAATTGTTGACCATATTTACCTTCGGTCCCCCCCCCCCCTCGTAACACTATTTCACCAATTTTCATTTCTAGAAAATGTGGACCAAACGAGAGCTTAGTTGAACAATGTTATTTACAGTCGATCAGCACCATAGTCATCCTATATAATATACATATGACCGTTAATGATTTGATGCATTAGGGAAACGGCAGTGAATGACTGCAAAAAACATTATTCTATTTAGTTTTATTAACAATTAAATTTTTAATAAATTTTGATTAAAATAATAAAATGCATTATTGAAATATTGATAAAAGATGTGAATCTAATCAAATGTATGATTAAAAATGAGTTTGGAAAAAAAAATTAATTAGAGGCCTAGGTTTGTATCATTGAGATTTTTCGAGTACCATCAGTAATTTTTGCTAGCAGTTCGAGTCATGCTGTACAGTACAGCATGCATGACAGCCCCGCACATGAGGGGGCCTCAGGCTGTAAGAATGCAGGAGGGGCTGTAGAGCTGTACATTCAGAATAAACAACATTCGGACTACAGCTTCAGTATCACCTGCAGATCGTGTATAGTACTATTGAAAGGATATAAAATCATTATCAAACAATTATTCATTGTACTCACAATTGGATATGGAGAATTTACAAAAATATTTAATTTTAATTGAAAAGTGTCTAATTTTCATAATTCTTGTAAAAATGGTCAAACTGGTAGCAAGTTTTCGATTATACCCTTAATGAAAAATGAAGCAAATATTTTTTTTTTAATTTTCAATTTGCCATGAATTTTAAGTAATTTCCATGAAAAGCTACATTAATGCTAGCTAATATCTAATGAATTTATATGCTTTCATTAACCATTAGGCCCTTGTTGGATTCCTTTTACTTTACTTTAATTTATTTCTCATACTTATTTTCAATCATATATTTACAATAAAATATTTTACGCATAAACTAAAAATTTTTCCTTACTTTTTATGAACACATTCTTAAAAAAATACTATTCAAAATTATGTTTTTTAATTTTTAAGGCCATCAAACAAGGGCTAGGTATTGACCAATGATTTTGAAAAAATAAAAATAAAAAAGATGAGATAGAAAAGTCATTAACACAAAAAATAACTATCTTCTTTCAATTAATAAGAAAATCATATAATTTCATTTCAAAAAATTTAATCTCATTCAAATTTGAGAGTTAATTAGGCTCCCCACAATACTCAATAGAACTGTAATTTTTCTTTGAAATCTTTTTTTTTTATAAGTTATGTTTTATAATTGTTGTTTTTGACATTTCATGACGTTCTGATATTTTAAAAGTTGTTATTTATATTTGGACTCTGTTTATATCGACACTTGCCACTTTATTTGTCTAGAACGAGATTTCGTTCCAAACATGAGAGTTTTCTACATTTTCATAAATTTCTTGACATTTTAAGTATAATTCTCGATATTTCATAAATATTTTATTTACCCACTTATAGGAAGAAGTGAACATTTAATGTATGATTGGAATGGTACTTTTTAAAATAAGCAGCACAGGTTATGCGTCAAGTTATTATTGGCCAATATAATTTTTAATTATATGAATAATTTTGTCCTCATTGTGGAATTTAAAATTGCCAATGAGGCATTTTTGTCTAAATTATAGTAAAATAGATATGAACAAATTTTGAACGTTTTTAAAGATGACCATATAAAAGTATACATTTTTTGCAATTTCCTCATTTGGATATTCATGTTCATTGGTGGAAATTTGGTTACATGGAGTACAAAGTAGAACTACAATGTTTGATATATAATGATTTCGACAACATTGTTAACAAGATGCCACGTGGCATGTTGTCATTGAATAGTTTAAAAAATAATTCATCTTTACAATAAACACTTCTTTGTCACAACCAACATTGTTGACAATGTTGTCCGAAAAAATTGTAAAAATAGATTAATTCAAAGCATAAAGTGATGGCAATAGAGCTAGTTGTACAAACATGGTTGATACCCATGTTTTGACACCATTGAAATAAAAAGCAGTTTTTAACAAATTTAAAATGGATCGATGTGATGGTGCCAAGTGTGTAATAGTCAACCAATGTTGTCAATAAAGATTGCACGTGTAGCATATTTCAAGTGACGGCACTGTCTAGTGCCCAAATAAAGGAGTTTAGAGGAATGTCCAAGGGACTCTGTGAGATTCTTCGGCTCAAGAGGCTATTAATCAAGATTGATCTTGCACCAAATACTAAAATGAATATGTATTATAATAATAAAGTTGCAATTCAAATTTCTCATAATTCAGTCCAATGTGACCATACAAAGCACGTTGAGGTGGATAGACACTTTATTAAACAAAACTTTGAAGAAAAGATCGTCAGATTTTAAAATAGTCAGGACACTAGCTTGTGAATATGCTTATGTAGGCTGTTTCAAGTAAAAGCTTCCACAGCTCACTAGACCTGTTGGACATTAGAGATATGTATGCACCAACTTCAGGACGAACGTTGGCATGAACCATATTTTCGTAATTAGAATGATTATAAGAATATTTAGTTACCATATTTTTTGTAAATCACTTAAATTCTGATCAGTCTAATCTTAGGTTAAAGATCGAAATATTTCCTAACTAGTTCACAGCTTTCGTGTATATATGGTGAATTGCTAGTAAAATTAAATATACAGAAAATATTCTAAAACTGTTAATTAGCAAGTTTTAATAAAACTTGAGGCTCATTTCAGTGTGTTTAGGGCTCGTTTGCCCCCCCCCCCCCCCCCCCTCGTAACACTATTTCACCAATTTTCATTTCTAGAAAATGTGGACCAAACGAGAGCTTAGTTGAACAATGTTATTTACAGTCGATCAGCACCATAGTCATCCTATATAATATACATATGACCGTTAATGATTTGATGCATTAGGGAAACGGCAGTGAATGACTGCAAAAAACATTATTCTATTTAGTTTTATTAACAATTAAATTTTTAATAAATTTTGATTAAAATAATAAAATGCATTATTGAAATATTGATAAAAGATGTGAATCTAATCAAATGTATGATTAAAAATGAGTTTGGAAAAAAAAATTAATTAGAGGCCTAGGTTTGTATCATTGAGATTTTTCGAGTACCATCAGTAATTTTTGCTAGCAGTTCGAGTCATGCTGTACAGTACAGCATGCATGACAGCCCCGCACATGAGGGGGCCTCAGGCTGTAAGAATGCAGGAGGGGCTGTAGAGCTGTACATTCAGAATAAACAACATTCGGACAACAGCTTCAGTATCACCTGCAGATCGTGTATAGTACTATTGAAAGGATATAAAATCATTATCAAACAATTATTCATTGTACTCACAATTGGATATGGAGAATTTACAAAAATATTTAATTTTAATTGAAAAGTGTCTAATTTTCATAATTCTTGTAAAAATGGTCAAACTGGTAGCAAGTTTTCGATTATACCCTTAATGAAAAATGAAGCAAATATTTTTTTTTTAATTTTCAATTTGCCATGAATTTTAAGTAATTTCCATGAAAAGCTACATTAATGCTAGCTAATATCTAATGAATTTATATGCTTTCATTAACCATTAGGCCCTTGTTGGATTCCTTTTACTTTACTTTAATTTATTTCTCATACTTATTTTCAATCATATATTTACAATAAAATATTTTACGCATAAACTAAAAATTTTTCCTTACTTTTTATGAACACATTCTTAAAAAAATACTATTCAAAATTATGTTTTTTAATTTTTAAGGCCATCAAACAAGGGCTAGGTATTGACCAATGATTTTGAAAAAATAAAAATAAAAAAGATGAGATAGAAAAGTCATTAACACAAAAAATAACTATCTTCTTTCAATTAATAAGAAAATCATATAATTTCATTTCAAAAAATTTAATCTCATTCAAATTTGAGAGTTAATTAGGCTCCCCACAATACTCAATAGAACTGTAATTTTTCTTTGAAATCTTTTTTTTTTATAAGTTATGTTTTATAATTGTTGTTTTTGACATTTCATGACGTTCTGATATTTTAAAAGTTGTTATTTATATTTGGACTCTGTTTATATCGACACTTGCCACTTTATTTGTCTAGAACGAGATTTCGTTCCAAACATGAGAGTTTTCTACATTTTCATAAATTTCTTGACATTTTAAGTATAATTCTTGATATTTCATAAATATTTTATTTACCCACTTATAGGAAGAAGTGAACATTTAATGTATGATTGGAATGGTACTTTTTAAAATAAGCAGCACAGGTTATGCGTCAAGTTATTATTGGCCAATATAATTTTTAATTATATGAATAATTTTGTCCTCATTGTGGAATTTAAAATTGCCAATGAGGCATTTTTGTCTAAATTATAGTAAAATAGATATGAACAAATTTTGAACGTTTTTAAAGATGACCATATAAAAGTATACATTTTTTGCAATTTCCTCATTTGGATATTCATGTTCATTGGTGGAAATTTGGTTACATGGAGTACAAAGTAGAACTACAATGTTTGATATATAATGATTTCGACAACTT